CGGAATTCCCACAAATTACTCCTCAACATTGCAATAATTTTTTTCATGCTCAGAATTGGATAATTAATTAATATATAATATGAAAAATACAATATTCGCAAGGATTTCATAAATTTCCAGTCCATAAATAAAAAAACGATAACTCAATCGATGCTTTCTTGGAATAATCTATCATAAAAAATAGCAGCGATTACCGCGTTCAACCGAATAAACTGGAATAATGATTTTAGACAGTACTTTAGCGAAATAATTACCAACCATTAAAACTATTGGAATGACGAAAGAATAATGGCGGCAAATATTGACACGAAACGCTGAGAAAACCGCTTGAGGTGTAATAAATCATTGGTCTGAACGCGGTAAATTTGAATAATGAATGGAAGTCGTACACACGTGTTTCGATTGTGTACTGACACTACGTGGAGGTATCCTCTTCTGCTAAAAGGTAGACAGGTCACCTGAAAGTGGTCAGTGTGTCGTGGTCCGTTATTGCCCCCAGGCTACTTTTTAATTCGACAGATTCCACCTCCATCGTGATATACCCGTAATGTCTTCCTCATCCTCATCATCCTCACCCTCATCTTCCACTTCCCCAGCTAAATCACACCCATCACCATCCGCAGAGAAAAAACTTTTCCATTAAAAAAACACCTGACGAAAAATCAAATCTTTCATTTTCCAAAAAACACTTTCTCCGGTTTGAAATTTCACGTTTCGTTCGACATTTTATTTTATTTTATTATTAATATTATTATTTTTAAAGAAAAACTATTGTGGAATTTAGAGTCATTAATATCTTCTCTTCAAATGTCGTAATAGTAATAAATCTGAGAGAAGAATTGAGTCGATTTGAATTAATTTGAATAAAAATGTGAATTTTTATTTTCGAGGAATGATTTTTTCTCAGAAACTTTCAGATTCAAAGATATTTCTGTTCCGATAACAAAAATTGCCCCCTCATATAATTGTTTAAATAACAGTTATTAACATATTTTTTTAAAATTAATAGCAGTCGGAAGAAAAGTGAGAGAATAATTAAAATGATTTCAATTAATGAAAATTATTATTGATTTAAATAATTGTTTTATGTACGTGGGAGCAATTCCTCGGTTGATTAAATCCGTGGAAAATGGAATTATTCATATTGCGAGGTGTTGGATAGTAGTGGAAGAAAAACGAAGGGAAGTTTTATTTTATTTGAAAGTTTTCATTGAGAAGAACTCCAACTTGTGGTAGTAAACACCAGAGATTGGAATTTGTCCTCAATATCACTCATTGGCTACAGCTACTGTGGAGAATGTTTTTCATCAACATTTTAATGCGTCAAGATAGAAATTAAAATGGAGAGTAGAAAATCCCAGGATTTCGCGGATAATAATTAATCAATGATGAAATACCCGATTAACAAAAGTGATCACGGTAATTTCACGCCGATTATCGCGTCAATATCTCGTCAACTACTGAATTCAGAGGAAAATGTTAAATAAATTTTTTGTTGAAAATTCAATTCCCCGCAAAAAAGATTTAACAGACATTTGTTGTAAATCCAATGGTTTCCGAGATATTCGGTGAACAAAAGCCGCTGGAACGAACCCATAATTTTCAATTCATCCTTTCATCGCGAATAATTAATGAATAATTAACAAATTGTTATTATTTTTTACCGCCTGACAATTCCTCAGCGTTACAATTTAAATAATGTAAATTTATTGACGAGTTACTGTTAAAAATTGAAAGTGCAATTAATTTAAATTCCTTTGGAGATGAAAACACAAATTGCGGAGGAGAAATAGCCAATAAATTTCACGGATAATAGAGATAATGAGAAAAATGCACATGCACAGGAAATTGAATGAATCGTTTTATTTTTTATGGATGAAAAATTGACGTAATACCGAGGCACACGTTTTTTCCATAAATGTCTTAATTGCCATAAAACGAATTACTTAGCGTCAGAGCTATTTCAGCGTTGGCTAGTAGAGCGATAGACCGTTTCTATCTCAACATCTCAGATTATTCTCTCCCTCCCTGAGATTTCTGTTATAGAGGAATCAGTGGAAAAAAAAAATCAGAAAAAGTAAACGTTTTCCGCCCTATGCATATGCATTTTGTGCCCAACCACCGGGAACCATCTTTCTACTTTGTCCTCGTTCTGGATTTTCTTACTGAATTCTAATTCTCTCCATTTATTTTTATTCAAGAGTGAAAAAATAAATTTCTTTCCAATTCCAGAAAGAGTCAATTGATCTTTCAGTTTTCAAGTAATTGGATGAATTTATGAAGATGGAAAAATGAATTTCTCTCGGTGTAAATAAATTTTTCTCTCAGCGACGAGCTGTGATGAGTGAACGCTTGTCGTTTGCTCTCGTTGGGAATTTGTTGGAATTACCGAGGCATTTTCTCGGGTTAGACGAGGGTGAAAGTGCAGTCAGGATGCTCTTGTTATATTATATAACACATTGCAAAATTATTGTTGTTCCGGTAATCATGGTATTATTTAATGAGAACAATCACGAGAAGAAACACACATGAAAAATTGAGAGAAACGCAGAATCAAATTCTCCTTTCGCGCAGAAATTTATTATTCGGTAATAAACAATTGCAATTAAATTTATCGAAGGGCATTCTTTTATTTAAAAAAATGAAGATGGAATGAGTGAAAAATGTGAGTTTTTTGGGGTTTTTGGGGACTTGTGGAAAAAATTTTAATAAATGGTGGAGAATTTTTTGGGGTAATTGAGTGGTTGTTGATGTGGATTTTTTAAAACCGGTGGTAACAGGTCCATCAGGGAAATATCCGAGACTGACCAACGCAAGAAACCATCAGGTTTGACCTGAATATTGGTGAATCCATGGAGCGGTACTTTCTAACGCGTTGAAAGGAATAAATACGACCGAAGAAGGTCGTAAGAGCCAACGGGTCCATTAACATATTCCCTTTACACACATTTGTCTCGACATTTCAATTTATCTAAACAACGAGAACATATTTACCACATTTTCCCTAATTTTCCTCAATTATCGTGAGCTAATGGAACACTTGTCACTGATTTTTTTGATTCGAAATAAAAAATTTTCTCGGCTTTTTCGTAATTTATCACCAGAATTGCAATAAAAATTGGAAAAAAATTCTGATGTAAATTTTCATAGAATAATTAAACCACAAATAAATAAATAGTTCTAACCTCACTTTTTCTGCTCTCCACACAATCGATCCAATCCAATAATTAATAAAAATGTCCAAAACGCGTATGAAAAATAACTGAGAAAATTGTTGGGGCTAAATTCTCGCATGAATTTGTTATGGAAATCAATTCTTCCTGAATCCATTGGTTACGACCGAGAGATCGGGCAATGGAGTCGACAGTGAATGCGGAAGTGAAGAGATTTTTATAAAAAAAAAAAGGAGAAAACATATGCAATACGATGACGTCGACTGGTGAGAGTATCAAATGCAGTTTGCAATGTCCGGGTAATGAAAACCGTTAGAAGACCTTGGGCTGACCAAGAGCTCTCGACAATTGTCTACTCACCTCTAGACTTGATTAAAAATTAAATATTAAATTGTAGTGATTAAATTGTAATGATTAAATTGAGTGATTGACACTTGATCTGTCAATTGACAAGTGACTGTGGACTTCCTGTTACCGTAATCCAAAAGAATTTCTCAATGTTTATTTCATTAATGGGGTGTGGTGGGTACAGTAATGATTGCATCGCTGGCCATTGAGACAGTGGGAATAAAAAAAAGTGATGAGGTGGGGATCAATTGAGAACAGGTGCTCTGGACTGGAGGGCATCGGGTCACGTCTGGTTCATTCATCGTCTCCTTGGAGTATTAGTTCCAGGAAGTTTGCACGTGAGGTGAATCAATTGAACAACACCTTAAAGAGTCAGTGCTCGAAAGAATCTATTGAAATGTCTCGATATCATTCATCTTACCATTAAATCATACAAATCTGAATGATTAATTGATTAATCAATTGTGAAGAATCCCATAAAATTTTTATTTTAACCTAAAAAAAATTACAAATGTTTATTTAACAAATGATTTATATGAATTCAATTTTAAGAATGATAATAATGAGGTCGAATAATTGATTTTTCTGGTGGTGATTAAGAATAGGGAATTTTTATGATCGGGGGGGTAATTAGATGCAATTGCATACACTTGTTTCTGAGGACAGATGAAGCAAAAAATGGGGGAGTGTTGAGATTACTCTTGTCGTAGTTTCCCACGATCAGAAACTTTCTCTGCACCGATGTGCACACCGACGTGCACCAACATTTGGCCAACAAAATCCTCAGGTTGAGACCACACAGGTGCCGACACATCACCAGGATCTCTCACTCCTTCATCAGGAATTATTATATCCATGATGGATTGTCCATTTCAGCTTGACTGACCTGTGAAGACCGTGAAAACAATAATTATTCCCAGTTTATTACCAGATTTTTTTTGTGCGAAGAGTGGAATTTTACAATTGACCTATTGCAACTGCTATTTTATCATCAGGAAAAATTGGATGGGTGAAAAAAATTTTCAGTAAAAAAATAGAAAGTCCCGGGTGTTAAGAATTTTTTTTTGATTCGTTAGAGCAAAATCATTTGACGGAATTTTAAGAATATATTTCTTAATAATTTTTTAACAATTTTTTTACAACTTGCATAGGACATATATCCGCATATAACTGACACATATTCCAAGATATATATTTTTTTCACGTGGAGAAGCTATTGGCAGACCACTCACTCCCCTGGAATGTTTCAAGACCATAAAATCTGGTTAACAAAATAAATGTAACAGGGCAGACGTTTAGTGCTGAGATTTTGCACTGGCAATAGTATAAATATGTGCAGCCGAGTTTTTCCATCGTCAAGAGAAGAGTCGGTCAAATAACTGTTTACGTCGAGGCCCTGACTCAACTACGACATCACTTTAATTACATTACTTTACTCCACTCACGTCAGTAATAATAATCATCTCACGAATAAATCCGATGCTATCTCCAGTCATTATTAAACCAAACAATATAATCAACAAAACTCACAACAATTATCAAATTGCGCTGAATTTATCGCACAATATTATTATTTATTTATTATTATTGAATTGAATTTTTTTTTAGAGAATCGTAATTGAAATTGGGAATAATTGAGAAAAAAAATCAAAACGCCTGAATATTTTCGGTGGCAATTTGTGCAGAATTTTTACTGGGATTGCAGCACAAATTTGGCACGGAAAATTCAGGCGAAAATAGTGCGCCTCAGAACTGGTTCATCCGTTCAGTAAAATTCCTCCACAAGTTTCATCACCCCTTCACAATTATCTTTTGTTCCAGATAATGAAAGAGATTACGCAAGACCCCTCGAGCAATACGGTAAGTCCATATTCCTCGGATGTACTAAATTCGCTGCATGGTTAGACAAAAGGTTGATGCGCATGGTAATACGCTGGCTGGGATACACTTCACCTGAATAAATAAAATAATATATCCCATTGCAAAAATGAATTCAGTAGCGAAATGCTAAAATGAAAAGAGAAATTTCTTCATCGAAATTTCAGAATTCCGGAGTCCAAACCAGAAATTATTTTTTCATTGATTTAAAAGGAATGCATCATTTCTCAACGTAAATTATAATTTATAATCAGAAATTAAAATTTCCGAATGGATGAATTGGAAAATTATGGATTTTAAGGCAAAATATCAGGAGTTGAAACAAGTTCTTCAACTTTTTCTCCACGAATCGTTAATTTTAGCCGATAAATTGTTAATTCATAGAAATTTTAATTAAATTCGTATTTTCACTCCTTCACTACTGAATTAATTGAGTGAATTCCTATCGGGCAGTACAGCACCAAATCCTCATACCTGCTCTACATTTCCCCTCGGAAATATTATGAGATAATTAATTAACCCGAGTCCCAAGCGATTTCATTACAAAAGGTAGATCAGACAATGGCCTGTTTCACAAATTTCTCATAACCATCTCGATTTCATTAAAATTATCGTCACTCCACAATCTTTCACACTCGCTTAAGCCAACTCCAATAATTTCTCAGAATGATTCTGCCATTTTCACCCGCCTATCTCAAAATATCTTTTCACTTCTGTCAACTGCTGATGATGTTGATGTGCGGTGCATCGTGTTGACGCACAATGCGGCTCTGAACTTGATGAGTGATGACTTTCCTAACAAATCATATCTGTCTGCTCCGATAAGAATTACCGAGTAATTGCGAAAATCTAAGAAATGAAGAAACATATCGATCAAAAAAAAAATATACTTGCCTAAAAGGCGAAAGCACTCTGGGTGCGCAAGCCTTCCAGCATTAAACATGGAAATCGACAAAATAAAATGATCCTCACCATGTAAATGAACCAATAATTACCATAATAATGAAGAAAACAATTGTATTATATTATACAGGGCTCTACTAACGTTCGTCTCTTTCTTATTTTTTTTTTTATCTGTTTTCTACTACTGCTCCCGCCTGCCATGTCCCCGTCTCTTCAACTTCTTTTCAACAACTGTGGATAACGTCGTGGCCTCCAACGTCTGCCCGTCAACCTCTAACACTCAACTAAACAACACGACCAATCAACCGACGATACTGACGATCCAAAAAATGACCTTGACCCGACTGAAAAATGGTAAAACAGAACGCGTAGCGAGGTCAGTCCCCCAAGTAGGTTTGCTAGAGTCGACTGCGCGTACGTTTGTCCTTGACGGTGCAAGTACCGAGTACGCGACGAAAGTTGTCGGTACGACCTTAGACAATGGAATTTATACCCGAATCCTGGCGACATCGAGTCGTGTCTTTTATGATAAAGACAGTGTGACGCCGGAGCCGGCGAGTCCATACCTGGTGTACCCGTCAATAGTGGACCAGGACAAGTGGCGAGTGTTGAATGGAGTCGTCGACGAGACACCGATTCGGCAGGAGATCACGTCGTTCTCCTCCTCCTCCTCCTCCTCGTCGTCGTCGTCGTCTTCGGGGTCGAACGATTCCGCCGATCGGGAGAACGACATCTTCGAGGTGCGACGGGACTTCACGAGTGATCACAAGTTTAAGCCGGCTAAGCCCAGGATCAACTTGCCGACGTACACTGTCAAGCAGGAGTTGACGGGGGCTCTGGGGCCGATTGGTGGTGGTTACGATAACGAGGAGGCAGAGGCTAGGAGTTACAGACCTAGGGTACCAAAGATCTTCAAGCCACAGACAACTCGACTGCTGCAGAAGAAGGAGCCGACTAAGCCGTTGGAGACAGTCACCTATCATGGGTTCGCTGATTTTACAACGACCGTCGGTGATACTGTCATTGTGTTTTCGCCGTCGACGGCACCGGCTGCTGTCGGTCGAGCTGCCACCACCATCAAGGGAGATGCCACCCTGAGACCTGATGATGGTAATGCTATATCCATTCAACCAACGAACGTCCAGAGTAGACAGGACAAGACGAATGATCCTCTACTGGAAGCCATCAACGCCCGGAGCCCCAGCAAAAATCTGAGACCCAGCGTTCAGGATCTGGACAGCTCATCCGTCAAGCAAACTCCAATTCTACCCGTGCCGATTGACGAGACGAAACCCACAGGTCTTCTCAAGGTCGTGGACTCAACGACAGCCGTTGATGGAACGACAACTCATTACAAGAGCAGCATCTTCGGAACGTACATCGGGACAAATTACGCTCAGATTATTCACACGTCGTCTAATGTGTATTTCTTCCCTGACGAAGCAAGTGTCACTCCTGAGGATTACGTTACGAGTGAACCTGACGAGACGGAGACCACTGAAGATACGTTGACGACTTTTGGAACTCTGGACTCGACTACTCCAATGTCCGAGAGAGATGAGACTGTTGCTGTTGAGGAGAACGAACTGACGACTCCGGTAGAGGATATCACGGAGGAAGCCAATGCTGTCACGGTGTCGAGGGTGGAGACAACCACACCTATGGACTCGGAGATTCCGAATGATATCGTCGACCCGCAGGGTAGAAGCATCAAAGGAAACTCGAAGAATCGTCTGGGAGGAGAGGAAAAACAACAATTTTCCACCAGATTGCTTCCCTCGGAAGTCTACAAGACGTTTACCTATTACACGACATTTTTCATTCCCGACGAAACCAATGCTCATCTGACCACGACCTCAGTTAGGTCACGGGAGGTCGTCTCCTCCGAGGTGACTTATCTCACTGAGCTGGTGCCAACCGGGACAGCTATGTCTACCAACGTCAGTCCCAGTAAAGAGTTGTCACTTCCAACTCTGACGACTCCGTCAGACACAAAGATCGTTTATGAGAATGGAGAGGAAGACGAGCCAACGACCAAGCGAGAGGAAATCGAGTTGATTTTTAAGACTCTGTACACCACATATACTTACCTGACGACGTTTTTCCAAGAGAGCACATCGAGCGTTTCGAGTCGTGAAGTCGTTGAAACGAATGTCGTCACTCAGACGATTGGTCCTGACGGGATTTCAGGGGATGTCGTTGGTCTCTTCAATGATGATGTGGTTATAACGCCGACGAAAGTTCAGGAGATCTCCAAGACAACAGTTCCTGGTTTGATCGAGACATCCGAAGACTTCCCGACCACAACCGAAGACACTACAACAGAAATTAGTTTTACGACCCCGAGGGATGATGAAGAGGTCGTCGATGTTGTGTCTCAGCTAGAGCCAAGCCCAGTGTCCTCTCTCGTTCCGGAAACCCTGAAGGCCGAGACCAAGACGTACTTTACAACATACACGTACTTCACGACCATTTTCGTGGATGATGAGACGGAAATCGAAACGCGTACCGAAGTTTTCAGTAACATCGTGACAGAGGCCTTTGAGCCGACAGCTGTTGCATCTCCAACGCCATCAGAAGTGCTAGCTCCGACGACCCCAAAGAGTCAACCAGCTCCACCACCAGAGATCCTGGCTTACCTGGAAGCGTTACAGAAGCAGAAGTCCCAGGAAGAGGCTCGGAAGGTCGCCAAAAAGGTGCAGGAGACGGTCCAAACGACGACTCCACCCCCTGAAGAACCCACGACGATTCCGACGATTATTGACGTACCAGCTGAAGTCACCGAGCAGTCCTTTGAGGACGGCGAGGTCCTAGGATCGATGATCACCGACGTCGTGTCTTCCTCCAGCTCTAGCGACGGTCCTGTCCTAGAGCCGTCGATGGACAAACGAAATGCGGGATCGATGTTCGATGATCAGGAACTTTCGGAGTCGAATCATCACGACGTGGAGCCCGCACCGACGCTTCTCTTGCGAACGAGTTATACGACGTTCACTTATTTCACGACAATGTACAAAGGAGACGCAAGCAATGTCGTGTCGCGGCTTCAGACTGTGACGAACATCGTGACGGAAACGATTCGACCAACGCCGGCCGTGGAGATGGAACCCACCAGCACTCTTCCAGTTACGTACTTCACGACTTTCACATACTGGACGACGTTCTACAAAGGCGGAGATACCATCACCACAAGCCGAGAGGAAACCGTCAGCAACGTTGTGACACCTGGAGTATCACCTACCCCAACGGTACAGCTAGGCGTCATAATGACTTACCGACCGGATACAGCCGACGATGAAGATCAAACCGAAAAGGCAATCACTGATAATGAAGTCATGCAGCACGACAAATCGATTTCTGAAAAGGATATCGTCTACGCAGTAACTGAACCCGACGACACAATTTCTCAGACTGAGAGCTCTACTATTAGCTCGGATCCGACAACATTCTACACTACTTTTACGTACTTCACGACGTCGTACATCGGTAATGAGACGGTCTTGAACTCCAGGCTGGAGACAATCACGAGTGTCGCATATCCCGGAGAAGTGCTGAAGGCGACGGGCAGAGCGATTGGCCCGGCGGTATCAAAGGTCCAGGAGTTGGAGACTGAGGAGAAGGCTAGAACGGTGAAAATAACACCGACGAAGGTTCCTGAAGAACCAAAGACTGGTCTCATCTCGACGGTTAGGTCTAGTGCTGTTGCTGATGGCACGACGACGCATTACAAGACGGAAGTTTATGGGACTTACATTGACGGTCTATATGCGCAAGTGGTGCAGAGCACGACAAGCCTTGAGTCCCAGGCAACGCCGACGGCTGTGCCTGTTTACACGACGTCATCAGCTACTCCGGCTCTTCCAACAGGAATTCTGTCACTTAATAAAGGGAGCATTGTTGATGCTGATGAGGTGACTACCGTCTACTTCACGACGAGTCAACTGGGGACTCTGATCGATGGACTCTATGCCAAGGTCATCGAGAGCACTTCCAGCACGAGAATCGACGCGGACAAAAAATTGCAGTTGAAGCCGACGGAGGAGCGTCATCGAACAGGTCTCGTCAGGCTGATCAAGGGACAAATCGAGACAAATGGATCGACGATTGTCTATCAGTCAAAGGTTATCGGTACGAATATTGAAGGGAGGTATGCGCAGATCATCGAGAGCACCTCCAGTTACCTCCTGGGAGCGACAGATAGGATCTCTCCAACCGCGACATCGTCTCCTGACGTTACCAGAAATCCCGGACTGCTGTCGCCAACTCCAGCTGTCATTCAGTCATCAATACCAGAGAACAATAGCGATGATGATGACGGAAATATTGAAGAGGAGAACGAGGAGAACGAGGACGAGAATGAGGACGAGGACGAGGACGAGGATGGCAAGCCGAAGAAGAAGTCGAGGCTGACATTCTCCAGTCGCAAGCGCACCTTTACTCCTGTGATCCGTCCCTTTTTATCGAGAAGCAGACCGACGTTCAATCCGAAGAGGAAGGGAGCGCAAGCAGCCACTACCATCACCAGGACTGACATCACCCCAACGATAACAGCAACACTCGCTGGGACTAAGAGTAATCGGTTTGCGTCATCGCGGGGCAGAGCGACCCCATCGGCAGCAGCTGCTGGGCCAATCAACTCATCCAGAAGATTTTCAGGAAGACGAGGGTCGAGTGCAGTACCACAAGCGTCTTCGGTCGTTGCCAGCTCCAGAGGACGTCAGCAATCGAGAATTGTCCCTTCCCCAACGTTCTCAGTGAATCGACGCGGCCCGAGTTCCATTCGAGGGTCATCCGCTCGGCCGTTGATCAGAGGATCGTCAAGCTCGAGCTTCCCAGGGTCCTCTAGAGGCTTCAGGGGTGGCATCAGACCATCGTCGACTCTCCTCAGGTCTCCGCAATCAGCGAATCCAACGCAATCCATTAGGACTGACGATCAGGATGATGAGGCCAATGAGTTCACTGCTACCACGTTTGTCACCGATGAGACGCCCTATTCCACGATCGACGACGAATTCGGAGAGACCATCACCACGATTCCAGTGAAGACGACGACAGAGTCCTCCAGGAGGTCGACCAATCCTCTCTTGAGATTTAGAAGACCGAATCAGTTGTCACGAGGACCTCCGCCAACCAGGAGAACAACAACTACAACTCCAAAGCCCCCATCGAGAGCGTCAAATGCTCGATCCCTGAACGCTCCACCTCCGGGTAACAGATTACGGGGAAACCGATTGTTCCCTCCTCGTAACTTCATCAATCAACCGACGACAGATCCCGAAGAAGAGAATTATGAGACGACACAGGTGCCCGGTATCACTGAAAAGAGTTTCGACGACGAGAGGCCAGTCGAGGAGATCGTGGACAACGACTATGAGGGATCCGAAAATAGCAAGAGAAGACGAATCGCTACGACAACTCCCGCCCCGCAGAGACTCGCCTACGGGAACAGATTCAGTGGTCCCAGGAGGAGAGTCAGGCGTCAGGCAAGTCAGCTACGCTCCTACCAGAATACTAGGTATAGAAGACCTGGAACTGTGGCGTCAGCGGAGGACAGATTGGACGTGGATGCCGCCGAAGAGTCTCTCAAAACAAGCAGAGCGTCTCCGTTCAATGGACGGACAAGACCCTTGACTTCGTCAGCTCGTCCATTACCCAAAACCAGTAGTGAGAAGTACTCATCGGGTGAATCCTCGGAGGCTTCCAAGTCCCGAAGACGACCGGCGAATCCCCGGGTCAAGCCGACACCCACAACGGCGTCAGGCCGACAGTTCACGCTGAGGGAGAAGTCGTCGAGTGGCTACAAGAGGACGTCAGTGGCGTCTAAAAACAATTTGAGGGGAACCAACAGCCCACGGGTGCGCACGCCCACGAGGAGGACGGAGTCTGGAGAGTACCGTCGAGCCTCGACGTCGAGAGCCCCGACTCGTGGAAGGAGCACGAGTAGAAGAGTACCTCAAAGAGGCCGAGGGTCCAAGGAAGATTTCTCCTTCAAGGACGACGGCACCATCACCGTGACCCACTACGTCCCCACCCAGGCGACGATCCCTATATTCACGAATGGCCTGACAGAGCACCGGAGCATCATCACCGCGAGCCCCAGCATCGAGGTCCTGGGACCTGAAAGATACAATACGGTTAACGGTGGGGATGGACTTCCTCTCCTGGTGATTGCATCGGAGTCGTCTGCAGTGAATCTCAATGGCCAAACGGAAGTGACGAGATTCCTCCTGCACACGACTCCCACCAGTCGAGTCTCTCACACCCTGACGACCATCGGTGGAAGGAGAGTCTCTCAATCTCTCATCGTTCCCTCGACGATCTACTCAGTGGAGAACGTCGTGTCGACGATCCCGGCATCACTCACAGGTGGCAATGCACCTCTCGCCAATATTCTGTTGTCTCAGCTGCTTCTTGGACAACTCGGTGGACAGAACGCACTCCTCGGGGGGAGCGCTGCACCAGTGGATGCCACTCCGACGACAACCTTCAGCACTAGAACGACGTCCTACGTCACCACTATTACGAAACAGAGAAGCACTGTCATTCCTTTGACCTTCCGGGGAAAAGAGATCTTCACGACATTGACTGATTCATCTACCGACGTCATCACCGCAACGGAATTTATCACTGATACAGTAGTGGTGACTCCGACTGCTGCTTTTCCAAATGCCAATCTCAATTCGCTCCTTCTGCTGCTGCAGCAACAGCCCCAGGGTTCACAGTTCCCACAGCAGGTGCATGATCCTCTCTTCGCAGCTGCTCCGATCTTCACCCAGAGCAATTCTCTACCTGGGGAGCTTGAGCGCCGGTACCAGCCAGCCGATCTCGACTATAGACCCGAGGAGGAGTCATCCGACGTTGAGGAATTTGAAAAACCCGTCAAACCACGAGCTAAAATGCAGAAGAAGGAGAGCCCGGAGTCCAGCGTCGTGACGCTCTATGTCTCTGGTAAAAGACCCGGTGAGTTCAGCACCATTTTATCAACGGTGCGTGTTGGCGAGGAGTCGACTGCCTCCAGGAGACGCCGGGATGTTCAACTCCAAGCGTCGATACCTCCGTCGATGGGGAGTGCTGGGGGAGAATTGAGCAGGCTGAGCCCCAGTGAAGAGCCTATCAACGCTCATTCCCCAACACAAAGTCTCGAGAGCGTTGTGGGTGACGTAGGACGGCACATCTCCACGTCTATCCGTGCCTGAATTCCCTGTCCAACTCCAACACAATCCGTCAATTTAATTAAGACAATACTCGGAGCTGAACATCTTCCAACGGAATGTGTTCAGCTTCAAGGCTCAAATAACTAAGAATTAATACTCCCTTCAAAGTTTAAATCACTCGTCGAATTCTTCACAGAGAGAAAATGTTTCTTCACGGTGAAATCAAAGTCCTGACGATAGAGAAGAAATTTCTGGAGTCAACTATAAATTATCTAGAATCATGTCTTCTCACATCTAGAAATATCTCCCTAGTGTCGTGACTTTTTTGATTTAGGACCTAGAAGCTTTTTATCTCTGTGTTCATCTCTCTCCTGTCCTCTCTGTCTAATATTAATCAATTAACAAATTGGAATGCAGTACCGATTCCCTCCGAATTGTCCTCCCCCCGCCGCACGCGCGCCCACACGACAGCTGATAATTCGTTGTCAGTTGATGACGATGATACGATGACAAAGCAAAAGCTACAGAACAGAAATTTGGGAATGTTGAAAGGAAACAACCATTACGCTTTTATCGCTGCCTTAGCTTGTTTGCCCCTTAACGGAGGTAAAGGAACCCCTTTTGGTGATTGACACAAATTTAATAATTGTGAAGAAGAGGAAAAGGGCTCGATCATTTCAGATGAGCCCAACGGCGAGTTCTTCTTCGGTCAGAAGTATCCGATCGATGAGTTTGATGCTGATTTGGTGGATTACTCTGGCTTTCGGAGGAAAGTCGTGAGGATTCCGGTGGTCAAAACCACGGAGAAGCACAAGTATACCGTTGTCAGGCGTCGACCGATTGTTCCTTATACCGGACAACCCGAGATTATTGATGAACCCCAGCGTACATCATCCCCGAAACGAATCGTCGTCACAAGGGTGCGCAGTTTGGCAGCTAGGTCTCGGCATTTTTCGAATTATGATGAGAATTATGATGAGGAGTTCGATACGCCGAAGAGGCATAAAGTGACGATCACGAGGACGAGGAAACTGAGGCCAACGGTGAGGGTTGAGCCCAAGACTACTCCGAGACGAGTTGTCAGGAAGAAACTCGTCAACGTGAGACCGATTATTACACCGACTCCGACATTTGCTATTATTACAACAGGATTCTATGGGATTGCGAGTCCTGGCGAAGATGAGGATTATGAGGAGGAGGTGACGACACCCCGGAATGATGGCGAGTCGGTGAATGATATTGATCAAGTCACCTCTCTTGAGGCTAGCAAAGAACTTGAGGAGATCGAGGGGAAGACTGATCATCTTCAGAGCACCACGGAATCTACTCCGGTGATAATAACGGATCATTTCTTCTTTCCGGCTTCGGAGGATGAGGATTATGATGAAGAGGATGAGGGAGTGGATGAAGAACACACGCAACCACCTGAAGAAGTGACGGAGAGTGATGGTATGACTTTGGAGATGACCACTGAACCGCAAGTTGTTTCTGAAGATCCGGTACCGACGGGGATGACTGAGGAAGCTGAAGGGACTACTGACAAACCCACGACGACTCCTGGTAGTGTTGAAGAGTCAGCGGAAGATGATAGAGGAGGAGAAAAGGTGAAAGAAGGAAAGGATGAAGAGAAAGGTGATGAAGGAGAGGAAGAAAATCAACAAGAAGGCATGGGCGATGAAGTAAATCTGAAAGGAGGAAAACAAGAAGAGAAAGAGGTGAAGGGTGAGGAGACAGGGGAAGTAGAAGATAAAGAGGAAGTGAAGAAAGAAGATGACGAAATAAAGCAAGAAGAAATACAAGAAGAAAAAAATAGGGAAGAGGAACAAAAAGGAGAAGAGCAGACAAATGCCGAAGAACATCATATTGAAGAAATAAAAGAAGAACAAATAGAAGAAGTGAAAAAAGCTGAAGAAAAGGAAGAAGAAAAACAAAATAAAGAAGATGAACGATCAAATGATGAGAAGGAAGACCAGGAGGACATAAATGAAAAAGCAACGGACATTGAGGACTCCATCGAACAGTCAATCCCAACGCACAGTTTCACATCAACTCAATCACCTGATGATTTGACAGTAGTCCCCCTGGAGTCCTCCCTCGAAATATCCCCAACCCTCACACCTGATTCTGAAATTCCCACCGTAATTCCCCTCGAGGCATTGATTTCCACCGAGGAGATAACTCCCACATTAATTAGACACGATTTCACCAACACCACGACTGTCGTCTCCTCGTCGCCTTCCCCCGAAGAGATCGAGGCTGGCCTCTCGGACGAGCTCTATCTCTCCCTCTCGCGTCTCAATATACCAGTCGTACCCTCTGAGCTTAGTCACCACCAGGTAGACCTCCAGGCAACTCCGACAGTTGTCTTCTCTGAAACAGTCGTCACGTCCACACGATTGCGAACTTACACGTACGTTGTGACAAAATTAAATGGACTGGAGACACAGGTGACATCATCAACCACAGTCAGACCCCGCGTTACGACACTGACACTCACTGTTCCCATAACAATTACCCCATCCACCACCATGGACTCCATGAGCTCCAGGACGATGAATCATCATCGGGCTATCGGTGAGTATATCCCCCTCTTCGTGATTTATTTTCTCTGGACAATTCAAAGAAAATGTATTCAACATTTTACCACGAAACTATTTCCTCTCTTCCATCTCTCGTCTTCAATTAATCACTTGGAATAATGTAAATATTTTATTGTAAATATTGATCGGGATTCAGTTGTATATAAACTATTCTTCATCATGAATGAGCGTTTCTTTGATTAATAATACATGGCGGGAATCCCTGTAAGAGTCTCAGTCAGGATGATAATGGATTATTAATGTGGGTTGTGATGCACCAGGAGATTCAGATGTAGGATTAAAAATCCACGATGAGGGTAGACGCCTCAATCTGGCGACCAGGGTGATGTCCAATGGTGTGGAGGTAATCGTTGCTGGGCCGACACCGGCGTTGAGATGGGAGAATGCCAATCCCCAGCCGACGTTGACACTTTCTGATGCTGTCGTGATGATGATGCCTCAGGAGGATCCCAATGAGTTTGTCACTAAAACATGCACCACAACCTTCACGTACTTGAATACCATCACCAAGGATGGAACGACTATTGTGTCAACTGATCAGCAGGTGAATTTCTTCACCACCCGAGAATTCATGATTAATTGTCAATTAATGGAGATGAATTATATATTTTATTTAATTTTTTATTGTCCAGGTTGTGGCAAATACAGCGATAGAAGAGCGGCACAGGAAGCCCGGGTCAGAGTCAGCTGCTGTCACCCTGGAGGCATCACCTACATTGAGGACAGAAGTCTTCAAGACAACGTACACCTACCTGACTCTTAACGCGGAGCATCCCAACGCGGATGACGCCCTGGGGAGTAGTCAAAAGGTGATTGCCAATACAGTGACAGCCCCCCAGCATTATCTGGACATGATTCTTGAGCCCTCGGAGACTCATCCACCAGCTCAGACGAATACCTACCTCAGTACGAGACTTCTAGAGAAGACGTTCGTCGAGGACGGAGTGACAAAGATTGAGACGACAAGTGATACGATTACACGAGTAAATATCTGATAACAATTTCTTTGAGTTTGCCAATAGGACATTTTCTTGAATGAATTGTATCAATTGTATTTCAGTTGATCATCACCGAGTCAGTGCCACCTCCACCACGTCCGACGAGCGTGACGACGACTCTCACAGCTCTGGACAATCCTGACGACTCCTTGACTGACATAATGAAAACGTACTACATCACGTATACCTACGCCAACACTTACCTGGAAAAAGGTACACCAGTGGTAAGAACAAACGTTGCCACATCGACAGACGTTACCGTGGAGAAAGTCTCGAAGAAGACGACGCCCCAGGAGGCTGTCCCGATGACATCAACAGCCAATTCCGATCCCATCAAGATATTCGCCACGAAAACTTACCTCACCACCTTCACGTACTTCACGACTCTTCTTCAGGCTGGGGCAGATGGTGAGACCTCTACGACGATTTCCTCTCGATCTCATGTGGTGGAGAATGTCGTCACCGAGTCCATCGCCCCTAGTCTTCTCAATTCGGGGTACATGAATCTTCTGACGACGACTCATCGATCTGATCCTGTTCAGAATATTGTCACTGGTTCGACCATTATCTTCTTCGACGATGACGACCAGATATATCCCTCCACCACCACCAGTCATCCCTCACCAACAGCTTCTCCTGAACTCGCGGAGAACACCAGTGAAGTCCCAGAGGACTCTGGTGTCCACCCGGCAAGTTCAGAAGACAGCGACAAGAATGAGGATATGGAGGATTCGGAGGCGAGTGCCTCTGAGACAGACGAGGTGCAGGCGGATCTTGAGGAAAGCCCTGAGCGTCCAGTCTCAGGACTCCTGAGTCTGGGTTCCCTAGGTATTAATGGCCTGTCAGCCTTGGGTCCAGTGATCACAGCGATGGCAGGGCTTCTGCAGGGCAAACCGTCTCCAAACCCTCGACGGAACGACACAGCCCTCCCTAGCACTCCAGCGCCACCAATCTCCAACGTCAACCTGTCCCCCAACCAAATAACAACACAACGTTCTCCAATCTACATCCCAGTCTCAGAATTCGCCGGTGACATCGAAACAGCTGAGAGTCAGAACATCGTGACTCAATTATCAAATCCCAATTTCATCCCCGAGACACGCCACAAAGTTGCAGCGAGTCTCGTAGACGGTATCCCCATTTCTCCAGGTGAAATAATAACCGCAAACAGTGACGTGATCATTGGAAAGCCAGGAAAGCTGTCACCTAGGCCTCCGCAGACGTACGAAGATCAAGAAGTGGGTGGACTGAAGCCTCCACCAGTCTCAGTTCCAAATATTCCAGTGCACCCTGTCTTGGAGGTGCTGGAAGTTCCACACGAGGACGAGCAGAAGCCCCATCACCCCCAGAAGAAAATCTCCGATCTTCTCAACAAAAAAATTCCCCCCAGAACGTCCTCCAAACACGACATCCTGGAGAACGATCCATTGCTGAGGCCCCCCGGAAGACCAAACATCAATAAATACGCCAATCCCAATATAAACCACAAGGAGCCCCAATGGCTGGCAGATAAATCACGAAAACCATGGAGTTCCAAGGATCCCATCATTCTCCCACCTCCTCCACCCTCTCCCCAGCCAACTCCATCGAGAATCGATAATCCTCATGTTTATCATCCGGAGGAGACAAGACCCTGGGCCCAGAAGGATCCTCTGGCGACAATGGACTCTCTGGAGAGGCTCCAGGGTGAGCAGATCTCCCTGAAACCCCCAGAACTCCAGGAGCCCGAGCCAATTATTCACCAGGTACCACACGTCATCGACAGATCAACAGGACAGCCTCTTCTCGTGAATATTCAACCCAGTCAAGTTGCCAATGTCGTAATACCCCAGGGTGGCACTCAGGCCCTCATATTTGGCGATACCAGCGAGCCCCACATCAGTGGACAGTACTTCGACGATCCCTCGCCCTATCCCGAGCCCGAGGTCGGATCAAATTTCGACAGAAACGACGAGAGTATCTCCCACTTCATGCTGCCACCACCAAGTCCTAGTTTCAAATCCCCTGGGAATAATTATGTCCAAACGATCCCGATATCCAATTCAAAAATTCAGGGTAATTTTTATGACATCGTCAAACCCGAGAAAACACCTTCGGACATACGACTGATTCAGAGGCCTGATATCCATGGACAGAGTCAGGGTCACGTGCACACCGAAATTCTGGTGCATCATTCACCTGATAATCTTCACCTGAGGCCTCACAATTCTCAGGGCTCGATTTACGTGGACTTGTCGCCACCACCTCCACCACCTCCCAGGGAGATGTATCATAAACCCACGGGGATTGAGCACCTCCCACCCAGGAGGAGTGAACCACCAGGTCTGGATCATCCCAGTCATTTCCATCGATTTAATTATCATAATCACGAGAAGGTTAATAAAACACTGGAGAACGAAGTACTGAGGCAGAAGTGGAAGAACGACAGGTACAAGAATCGAGTTATTCATCGTCCCAGACCAGTTGTGAGGAGACCATATCCTGGGGGTAAGATAAAGTTCCCTGGAAGGCAGCCACCCAAGTATCCATCCAGTGATATTCACAAGATGAGCGATAAAGATGATCTGCCCAATGGTGGTATTGGATATCAGAATCCTCTCACTCATATTCATCATCATCATCACCATGTGGTGTCACCTCCTCGTCCTCAAGTGGTGCAGCTGCCACCGGAGGTAAGTCCACCTGAAATTCAGAGCTTTGGACAAATTTTACCGAGTGATGATGAGCCTGAGAGCTGGTCTGGCACTCAGACGGAGAAGAGTATTGATTCTGAGGCAGAGGAGTCTGAGGACAGGCCCATGGGGTACTATAATGGGACAGAGGCTCACGATGTTCGTCAGGAACAGCAGGATCACCAGGAACATCAGGAGCATTTACAATATCAGCATGAGGTCTTCCAGGAACAAGAGAAAGAAGAGGGAGGAGGACATGGACAAGAGCAGGTGCAGGCAGAAGAGATTCCTTCGTCCTCTCCAATATTCCACGTCGAGGAGAGTCACCCTGTGACTCCACGGGAAGAATCTCCATCGACTGAAGAGCCCTCCCCTCCTGAGGACTCCAACGCCCAGCAATCAGACTTCTACGATTACGAGATTCAGGTCTCCCCAGGAGCTCAAGAGCTACCACTTCATCAGGAGAATTCTCAGGAGGAAACCCCTGGCGCCAATCAGGATCAAGAAAATGGAGAACCTGTGGAGCATCATCAGGAGAGCCCTGAGGACTACGAAGTGATTCAGGGAATTCCAATACCTCAATTCGACTCGAACCCCTCTTACGAATATCCCCCTGACGACACCATCGATCTGAAGCCCCCAGCAGAGCCTCCCAGGAGGACAGAGCCCGAGGTCCTTCCACCAGGAGGTCATGCGCGTCCTCCCAGTCACTGGAACGAAGACACCAGTTATTTAAATCGAAAGAATCTGACGCAGATACCCAATTACTTTAAGGCCCCAACGAATCCCCCAGAAGTCAAAAAATACATCAGCACAGAGACCCTGAGGAATCCAGATATCTCTCCACCTCGACCCCATCCGGCCTATCCCCACATCATCACGAAACCACCAGCAGTGCCTCGACCAGTGGTAATTACCTCAGACAAAAATCATGATGATCACAGATCACGACCAATCGTGATGCCAGTGATTCATGTGACCAAGGAGAAGGCACCTGAGACCCTGGAGACAGCATTCCAAACGAATTTCGCCCTGAAAGATGATAATCTTCAGCTACCGAAGACCCAGCATCAGCAGAAGCAACAGAATCATCAAAAAAATTATCAAAATCACCAAGTGATTCATCAGGATCAAAATTTGAACCAGCAGAGTCATCACAGAGTAGATCCTGTACCCTCCGAGGACATGATGCCACCACCAGCAAATCCACCATCAGTGAATGATCAAAAAAATCCAGAGGACAGCGACCTGAAGCCTCCACCAGCAGACACAAATGTCCTTGGGATGTCGCCACCTCCAGCGCCTTCTAGTCCACTGAAAAATCGCCAGCCACCCAAGTATATTCCCCTGAAGGACTCCAAGGTCGTCGGAGAGACCCCACCTCCACCTCCACCTCCACCTCCTCCACCCACGCCATCTCGACCGAGTTACTCGATGGTACCACCGACCTACCCCAGACCAACAAAGTCCCGTCCATACCTGGTGCAGTTACTGTCTCAGGATATGGTGCCACCACCTGTCATCGAGTCCTCCAGGATGGAGATAGCAACTGTTCGTCCAGCAATCGCTGTGTCAGGATCCATTCAAATTGGTACAGCTGTTGCCACGAGTCACATCCCAGTGATGCAGGACATTGAGTCGACAATTCCAATAGTTCATGGTACTGTTGATCTTCCAGTGGTGGTGGACGTTTCCGACCTGATGAAAACGATAACCGAGACGAGAAAACCAGAGCTGATAAGTGTTTACACAGTCAGACCTTTTGAAACACGACAGATGGTGTCAAAGGTATCGGTGCAGCCGACGCAGATTCTGACGACTCTGGTGATGCCGACGAGGATCAGAACATCGCCGAGTCACAGGGACATTCCCAAGAAGATGACGACGTCATCGGTGAGACCACAGGTTCACATCACTAGGGTGAATTCACCGTTTGGCCCCAGGAAGCCAGTGATCATCGAAGGAAGTCGACAGGGTGTCACCTCGAGGATATCCCCAACGCCGACCAAGTCTCTTGGCCACTTCACCGTACTCTCGAACACCACTACCACTAGGAACATCGATATCACGTCTTTGAGGAAGTCGTCCGTCCATGAGAGCTTCACCGAGATAAAACCCAAGGCTGTCACTCACTTTAAGACACTGACAGTCACGAGAACAGAGACATCCGTTGTTGGTTCGCCTCCAACGACGAGGACTCTCCTCCTGACGAGCACCATCACCTCGACCATCGTCGAAACAGTCACGGAGACTCTTCTTCGTCCTACGAGTGTCGTGGTGACATCGGTGACAACGGTTTTACAGTCAGCGCAGTCGACAGCAAGTGTTTACGATACGTACAATTCACCGGACACCCTGGACTCGATCTTCGTGGTGATGTCCGATCAGAATCCACCGGATCCGGGGGCTGAGGAGGTCGAGGCGGAGTATGGAACTGAGGAGGAGGTATCCCGGGACGAGCAGGATCCAGCTGGCAATGAAATCCATCGTGTTCTGTCCGGTGGAATCCTCGGAGCACCAGTGGTACCATCAGTCTCTCACGCTCCCAAGCCCCAGGAGTGCAAACCCGAGTGTCGAGGATTCAAGTCAGAGATGTGTGCCACTGTCGGGGGCAATCCTCGATGTGTCTGCAGACCTGGTTTCGCCAGGATGTTCCCTGATCGTCCCTGCAAGCCCACGTACACTTACACCATGAAACTTCCCCTGGAGCGAGTGGGTAGGGAGGAGATCAGGAAAATGTTGAATAATACGGCATCGTCAGGATTCAAGAGGCTGATGTCGTCGACACGCGAGGCACTGGATAGGACTCTAATGCAGAGTGACTTGAGGGATATTTACAGGGGAGTGGACATCACCAGTTTGAAGAAGTCCGAGGGCCGTCCTGAGGTTGAGTTCCGGGTGCAATTGACGGATAATGCCCACGAGGAGACACTCAAGGAGACGATGAAAAAGTATCTGATGTCGAGTAATTATTCCCTGGGGGGAACTAATGTGCTTGCATCGACGAATCTGGGGATGATCGACGCCAGGGACTTCGACGAGTGCTCGGAGGAGGGAGGACCCCATCACGACTGTTCACCACATGCCGCGTGTTTCAATATCCGAGGGTCTTATCAGTGCTCCTGCAAAGAAGGCTGGGCTGATTTGTCTGAGAATCCGGCATACCCTGGGAGGATCTGCTCACAGGCACCTCTGGGCTGCCACAGGTGCAACAACAAGGGTCACTGTGTGGTGAATTCGTACGGTCAGGACGTCTGTGAATGCTTCCCCTGGCACAGCGGTCAGAGGTGCCAGGTGAACCTCAAGGTTCTACTGATAGCCCTGGTGACGACTGGGGCTATTCTTCTGGGACTCCTGGGGGTCTGTCTGGCTCTCGCTTGCTTCAGGACTCCGAGGCTCGCCGGACACAAACTGAAGAAGGGGAGGCTTTCTGGAGACAAGAGGGCCATGATTTCCAATGCCAATGGAGGGGACACTAGCAGCGAGGGGAGTGTGACAGATCTAGCTATTCCTCATCATGTCCCTCATGTTTTACCACCTCCACCGAGGGCTAATGCTCCAGTGCCTCCTTTACCACCAGCTCCTCCCAAGGAAGCGCAGAAATGCAGAAACTATGGAAAATATCAGAAGAAAAAGTTTCAGGAGGTCGGCGGTGACGAGCAGAGGGGATTGAGTGTCATGATACCCAGGGCTAAGTACAGGTCAATGCAGGGGCAGTACAAGCAGCCGATCACGTCATTCTCAGCTGATGAGCACAAGTTGATTAGTTATCTTGAGGGGAGCAACAGGAAACAGAGTCTCGCTAGCACCACGAAGGAGTTCATGAAGAGGGAGTTCGAGGAGTCAATCAGGGTTGTCAGGAGTCCACCGAACAATGGGGCCCTGGTCAGCGCTGGTTTCCAGGTCTCCGCGACCGTCACCCGAACTGCTGATGACGAGTCGATTGTTGGCGAGGGAACCCTCGAGCCGTCGACCCTGAAGACCTTGAGGAACGCGGATTATCAGGATAGTGGGTTGACTCTGGCGAGATCCTCCGAGGGCACTACTATTCAAGCGACCACGAAGTTGATCGGGCTAGAACTGGCTGAGGACGACGGGGAGAATTCTGGCAAGCCGAATAGCCGGGGCTCCAAGGACACCAGGGATGCCAGGGATAGCGCTAGCGAGGGGCCGATCACTGCCGAGAGGGACCTCGGTAGTACTCTCAGACTACGGCACACGCCGTTATATAATTCAGACAGAGCGGTGAGGTTTTTTTTTTATTAACCAAAAAAAAAGTATCACGGGAACATTCAAACACTCAAACCCCCAGAACTGAGTCTCTACTTTAGTCAATCGTCTTTGACTACACGACTGATCGAACATTTTTTTGTCTGTTCACAGGTCAGCGATCGTGACTCTAACTTTGATTCGCTGTGAGAGTCAATTGTATTCGTTGTTGCCAAATAATTGTATTAGAGAAAATTGCTGAGAAAAATAACAAAAAAAAAAAAATTATAAACGGACGAATGTTTATTGAGAGCCTTCGTTATTCATAAATTGCATTATGAGTCACCGAAGCGCCGGCCATAACTAAAGACAATTATCGAGAGAGTACCACACTCTGGTCATCTGTACGACAGCCTATTTATTTATGTCATTGTTACAAATATTATATATATATAGATGTATGATTTTTTATACTAATCGGGCTCAGTACGACGTGGTTAACATTGTGTCACACATTTTCGTGCCAAAACTTATCTATAATGTTAATGAAAATTAATAATCAATTATTTCATTAAAAAATTGTCTTTACACCGATGAAGATGTCGTGTGGCAGGGGAATCATCAAAATTCTGTTACTGTTATGATTCATTAAAAATTAATTGTTTATTACAGTCGTCTCATGTTGCTCAGCTTCGTACCAATGATTAATCAGTTATTTTGATTCAAAATTTGTCCAACGAAACTGCGCAACGTCATCACCACGACTTTATTAAAAAAAAAATGGGGGAGGACATGTGTTTTTGTTGTTTCAATCGTTCTATCACATCAGGAGAAATATTAATGCAATTAACATGAGATTTAAATTCAACTAAAGATTGTGCTAACTCGAATTAACTCAGCTGTCGATTTAATCGAACGTGCGAGTTTTTTTTTCTATTGTACATAGCGAGTATTGTAAGTCTCTTTTAATGATAAATATTGTATTTTTATTGTTTTATCAGGAGATTAGACGTGTAATTGTTTCTATCTTGACAATAAAAAAAATTTAATACTGCGTTGTTTCTTCATTATTGTTTTTTCTAAAGAAACATTGATTTGAGATTGAAGTTGAAAATCTCCTTTAAAAATTCCCGCCGCTTTTTTCTATCCCGTGCGCACCCCCTGCTGCGCACGTCGCTCATTGCGATTTGCCTTGCACAACAAAATCAGCTGACGACTTTCGGAGCGTCACATTTCATTTATAAATAAAGGGACTGGAAAATCGGACCGTGGGGCGTAGAATCGTCACGATCGGTTAAATTTTTGTGCGGAAATGGTAGATATAAAGAGCAATGTCAGTTTCTCCTGTCAAAGGTGTCTCCAGCCCCTCAGACTCGACGCCAGTTTTGGTCATCTTGGAGAACATACACTAGCTGAATTATCACGTGGGTAATTTCTTATTTTGTTTCGTACAGAGAATAAATTGCATGGGAATTGTCATTGAACAATTGGAGAAATGATTTTTACGTCTACGTCTCTCTGATTTTTTTTTTATTCATGTAGAACAATTCGTGGCAGCCATCAGAGATGTTTTAAAAATACAATATTTCATGGAATGTTTATCGATTTGATTGGATTTATTTATTATTTATTAATTAATGGGTGATTTAATTGGGGCGGGAATATTTTTGAAACTAATTGTTTTTTAATAATGCAATTGGTTTCTTGTGGATTTTTTCAGCAGGTGATGATTTAATAAATTTTTAAATTTATCAACAGTACCAATTCAACAGCAGGTTGTCGGGGAGATTGAGCCCCAGAGTGGAAGTCTTGAGCACTTGGTTCCTCCATTCAGACTAACCGAGTCAGCAAATGGCACTAATGGTTTTATGCTCGTTGGGGATTCGGGGGAGACTGAGAGTCTCAGCCATCACCTGAGGGTAAAACTCAAATTCTAATCACAATTGATATAAAAACAATTAACAAGCTTCACAGAAAAATGTCAGAGAACATTTTAGCAGAGAATTCAATATCCCAGAATAAAACCTATAATATTTCTCTCTAGATCCATTCCTGTCGAAGTTATTCCGAGAATAATCTTCTCAAATTTTCCACAAGATTACCAATTGGATTAGAGAAATTTTTTAAATGGATTTCTTCCGGAATTAAAAGCACTTTGAGGTGATGAAATGACATTTCAGGTGAGAGCTACACTATTCGATATTCTCAGCAGTAGCAGTGCAGCAGATCATCCATTGTGTGACGAGTGTACGGACAGTCTGCTGATGCTGACGGACCAGCAGCTGCGAATGACTGAGAGCGAGTGGTCGGATTATAACGAATACCTGAAGAAATTGGAGGTGGAGCAGCAGCAGCAGCAAGGAAATGAATTGATGGAGATGGAGAATCTTACGAAGGAGTTGGCTGATGTCAAGGCTGAAGAGGAGAGGATGATCCAGGAGCTGGAGGCCTTGAGGAAGGAGGAGACTGCCACGAGGAATGCCATTGCAGAGCAGGAGCTGGAGAGGGAGAGATTGCAGAGTGAGGAGAAGAGATACTGGAGAGAGTACTCGAGGCACAGGAGAGATCTCATCCTGGCTGAGGACGAATGTCGAAGGTATCACCATCAATTTAATCTAATTGCTTTAATGCCGATAAAATTTCCTATTAAACATTTTTTTATAATTTTTATTTTCTCTGGGGTATTTTTTAATCTTACAGTTTGGAATGCCAATTAGCCTACGCCTCATCTCAACTTGAAAGACTGAAAAAAACAAATGTATTCAACGCAACATTTCACATATGGCACTCTGGACACTTTGGGACGATAAATTCGTTCAGACTGGGACGTCTCCCCACTGCACCTGTCGATTGGAGTGAGATAAATGCTGCCTGGGGTCAGACAACTTTGCTCCTCACTGCACTTGCCAGGAAGATGAATTTCACCTTCCAACGATTTCGCCTTGTGCCATTTGGCAATCACAGCTACGTCGAGGTACTGGATCAGCAGAAGGAGCTGCCGTTGTATGGAAGTGGAGGATTTAAATTCCTGTGGGATACAAAATTCGATGCAGCTATGGTAGCTTTTCTCGATTGTCTCCAGCAGTTCAAGGAACAGGTCGAGAAGGGAGACAGTGGATTCTGCCTGCCCTATAAAATGGATCGGGGCAAAATCGAGGATTCGGCAACAGGGAATTCTTATTCTGTCAAGTATGTTTCAATTAATTGATTATTCATTATGTGAGTCAACATTTTTTTATTTCATATATTCCATTACAATATTCATCTGTAATTATCTGTATTATTTACCGAGAGTAGTGGGAATTGCGATTCGCGAGAAAACATCAGATTTTAATGAGAAAAAAAATTAATTTGAGCAATTGTCTCCTTTTTTAACTGTCCAATTTGATTAATTAGAGATTATTTTTTTTTTTCGAGGATTCAATTCAACTCCGAAGAGCAGTGGACCAAGGCACTGAAATTTTTGCTCACGAATCTGAAATGGGGCCTTGCGTGGGTAAGTTCGCAGTTCTCGAAGGACGAAGTTGAACAATAACTCTAGTATCCCTTGTTTTTCTTGAAATTGGGAGCGACTCTCTTGCTAAAGTGTACATATTGGTGGGTATCCTTTTTTTTTGTATATAAATAAATTTGATCTAAGGAGTGGAAGTTTTTTTTTCATGTGTAGCGATCCTTTTTCTTCGATAAAAACCACATCACCCCGAAGAGAAACCCTGCAGGACTTTGAACATTTCCTGATGAGATGTAGTCGATTACTTCTGGAATGCTCATCTCGACGACTTCGATTAGCTCCCCCTCAGACTCATCTCCACCCCCTAAACATTTTAATTATGAATTTTATCATTGATTTAATTGTCCAGGAAAGAACGGGAGAAATTTTATCGTCGATCGGAGAAAAACGTGAGAGGAAATTTTAATGCAAAATTGAATTCTCCAACGTAATCATCAAGATTCTCAAGGTTTCATATTTTTCTATAATTTAATTCCCTCGAATTGATAAGATAGACTCACCGGGATGTATGTGCATGTCATCAGTGACTTCAACATAAAAATGTGTGTGTCTACCAGTTGTCGCTGCAATATCCCTGAAACAATTGACAGATAATTAATAAAATTACGACCAAACGTCTTTTCAAGGTAAAAAATTTTCAAATGCAATTATTTCTCGGTGAATTCCAGAGGAAAAGGTCAAACCAATTGCCCATTACATTAATAAACTCACGTGTATGTTATAATTTTTTCGAAAGCAGACGCTGGTGCCTCGTAACCGATTTCCTCCTTGAGCTCGTCCCTGGCAATTTCAATTAGTGGCAAATTCTTATCAATAATTCCAGCGCACAGTTCCAGGGTCAGTCCAGCCTCCGGAGGATACTGTTTTGTATCGACACTCTGGTGTTTTTCTGGGAGAGTGGAGTAATAAGCTGCTGGCCTGAACTGTCTGACAAACACCAGCTTCTTCCTCGTGGTGTTGTAAACAATAATAGCAACACTGTCGTGTATCCTCGAGACATCCCAGTTTTTGGGTTTTTCATCCTGGACAAATGTTATACGCACCGGTCTCAACCAGGGTGAATCCTTTGGCAATGCCTGCACCTTGACATTTTTCAAATCCATCATCTTCTTCCTGACTATCGCGTTCCTCTCCTCCTGCGTTTGTCCACTCATTTTTCTCGATTTTTTTTTATCTCGATGAATTTTTGAGGCTTTCACTAAGACAATGGCACGCCACTACTAGCCTCTCAATTGTCCTTCATTACTTCAACTGAAATCTACCCGTGGCATCGTTGTATTGCACCCCAAAAGAGGGAGGGCGCCACACGCAATGCTGGGGTGTCCTTCAAGTCGACGGGGTGAATTTCATTTTCTGCAGTATGAATGTTCTTTGTTTTTTATTTGTTTTACTGAAATTTAGCCGACTGTAGAACGTGTGGAAGGGGGAAAACATATCTTGTAGAATTTCAATAAAAAAAATTATTCAATATGTTGAAGATATACCACTAATGAATTTATTATTTATAAATAAGCGCGATGTCCTAGCGGTAACGTGCTCGACTGGCACGCCGGCGGCCCGGGTTCAATCCCGGCATCATTAATTTTTTTTTTTTCAAAATAATTTCAATTTTTTTTTTGTTAATGACAAATCAATTGTAATATTGTTTAAAAACTGAATATTTGATAATCGGGGAGATATGCAATGAAATTGAACAATTTGACATTTTTAAAAACGAAAGTTTTGCAATATATATACTCCTAATGAAATTTTATTATTGCAATAGTGCGTTATCCTAGTGGTAACGTGCTCGGCTAGCACGCCGACGGCCCGGGTTC